AAAAAAAAACTTAAAAAAAAGTCTTGCAAAAGGGAGTTACAAGAAAATCTTAGCAAAAAATATAATTTACATTAAAGCAAAATTCGAATACACATAAACTTTTAAAAATTTAAATTTTGCATTCTAAAAAACTGTTGGAAAAAGAATCTAAACCCTTATAAGCACCGAAATCTTCAAAATTTCAAACAAAGTTTACCTTTTTTATTCACCATGTTTTTCCTTAATTCTTTCACAATTGGCCTAAACAAATCAAACAAATTGGAACATATTTCAAAAAAATTGCAAAAATAATCAAAATTTTGGTTTCAAAATTTTTTGGCACGCACTTTCAATTTTTTTTTTAACTTGTATAGCATTTTTTGTTGAGGTTGTGTTGCTATCCACAATCGACCAATTAATTCTCGCATTTCCCTTGCACTTACTTATTTACACAAACAAATATCCGCGATTTTCATTTGCAGCACACGAATCATTTTCATAAAATAAATCAAGTTTGACAATAAATTAAGAATATCTGTAAACACTAAATTATATTAAAAGCTACAATTAAATATTGTCCTGCTAGCAACTTAAACTAAATTCATTTGCTAAGCTGACTTTCAGTTCGCAAGTCACAATGAAAGTAAGTAATTAATAACTGAGTGTAATTATAAAAACATTAAATCAACTAATTATACACAACGGTATACATACGTACCTCCACACACACTCACACACTCAAACTAACTAACATAGTCATCATACATAAAGTATGTACATACATACATCCTACAATTATCCTTTTAGGTATGTCCTTTCACTACTTTCCACACTTGCTCCTTCATTTGGCAAACGTCTACCAACAACACCAACACCACCACCACCACCATTCAGTCAATTTATGTCATAGTATTTTCTTTGGTAGCTTTTACAGCCGCCGTCCACGCCTAAACCGCCAACGCCAGCACCAACACCTCCTGGACTTGCACCACTGCCGACACCGACACCGACGCCGCCGCTTACGCCATTATTAAAGTAGCACCCACTGACGCTGGCCCCTGCATTGACGCCGACGCCGACGCCGCCAACACCGACATTGCTGCCGCCACTGCCACTGCCACTGCCACCGCCGGCTAACATGGACAAGGCTTTATTTTAGCTGGAAGCGCCCAGTGAGTTCTTCATATGCGCTGCAGCTGCCGCTTGAACGCCAAACGGCGAACCACCACCACCGCTTTGTGGGCCATTGTTGTTATTGTGATCGCCCGGTGTACGCGGTCCATTTTGCACAACACTACCCGGTACGCCAGGACTGCCACCACCCATTAAGCCGCCAGCGCCCGTCGGCGAGCCTTGACCAATGGCGCTGGCATGTCGCTTCAACATCGGATGATTGGCCATAGAGGCGAAGACGAGACGTTCCTCATAGTCATATTCGCAGAGAATTTTGTTCTCACACAGGTAGAAACGATCGCCAACGCAGAATCTGGAAGGAGAAAAAGGGAAAAAAGAAAACTTTACTAACTGATTTACTGCTTTTTGTATCCTTAAATGATAGCAAAGGAAGCATTTTTCCACTTGCTTGAGTAGCAATGGAGGGCATTCAAGACCAAAGCAATACAGTAAGTTCATGGTATGCCAGAGTGGCTTAGAACAAAGAATGATAGAATATAACTACACATATGAAGCACAAGTACCGTTGCATGTGCACTTTTAATTTCTTCCTTTCAGCGAAGGACAACGCTCATCGTTCTATGTTGAAAATTGTCTTCCTTTCATTTATCTGACAGTTGTCAACTCAACACAAAAATGCAAATGGCAACAATGTCACTGCGAATCGAGAGGCGGGAAGGAAAATGTCACACAAGTTTAACTGCTATCTCAAAAAAATATGTTCATACATACTACATAAGTATGTCTGTTGCAACACAGAGATCATTCAAATGGAATTGAAGCAAGCATTTCAATTTTCACGCTTCGGTGGGTACTGGAGAGCTGGGCATTTTTCTTAAATATATTTACATATTTTCATTCAAATTCTTTATGATGAGCACAAAAGTAATTGTGAATCAAAATATTTCTTTAATAACGCTACCATATTTCTAAGGAGGGAAAATTAATTTATACGCAGCGTAGGAATATTCTGAATGGGAAGCGTTCGCTGTGCAAGCTAGAAAACTGAGAGGGGCTGGAATATGTTCTTCGGAATGTTGTCTATTGAATCAGGGAAGCCAACTCGTGGGGAATTCCCCGATTTGCGGGGAATTTCAGATCGCGTGGGGAATCGGGGAAAGCCCGTTTTTTGTGGGGAATTTCAGTTTATATGGGGAAGCGGGGGATGAACTGTTTATTGTGAAGTATTAGGTGTAATTTTTTTTCTTTTTTGCTTCCTTAATTTCATAATGATTTAAAGGAAATATAAGTTGAGATGTCACACTCGTCACCGTGGAATGAGCCGTATGCAGTTGTGTAGATCGTTCAATTCTAGTATAATAAAGTTTCAAATGGCTAAAAATTTCCGTTGATTTTTTAGAATTTTCTTTAATAACGAATAAACACACTTTATTTTATATGGAAGAAAACAGCAACATCTTCTGCAAACAAATTCTAAAACGAAAATTTTTAGACACTTGAAACTTGCACTCTTTTGTTCTAGAATTGAGTAGGCTATAAAACTGCGTACTCAAAATTTCTCCAGAAAATCGAATTCAAAAGCTCAAAATTTTTACGAAAGTTTGTTGATTTTTTTATTATTGTACAAAGTTTGAAACTAAGATTTGAACGCTTTTTGTTAAAGGATGAACTCTATTCTTATAAAAAATAATTCAAATTAAATAAAAATAAATAAAATAAAAAATCTCAAAACTTGTCAAAATTTGGTGCGAATAAATTTTTTTCGACCACTGTTTGTGTGTAAATATTATATGTACATTTTTATTCTTTGTTTAAATTAAAAAGTTCAAAATTTTTACGAATGTTTGTTGTTTTTTTTAATATTGTGCAAAGTTTTAAACTTGGATTTGAAGACTTTTTGTTAAAGAATGAACTCTATTCTTGTCAAAAATAATTCAAGTTAAATAACAAAAAAAAAAGTTTCAAAACTTGTCAAAATTTGGTGCGACTAAATTTTTTTCGACCACTGTTTGTCTGTAAATATTATATGCACATTTTTATTCTTTATTTAAATAAAAAAGTTCAAAATTTTTACGAATGTTTGTTGATTTTTTTTTTTATATTGTACAAAGTTTGAAACTTGGATTTGAACGCTTTTTGTTAAGGAATGAACTCTATCAAAAATAATTCAAATTAAATAACAAAAAAAAAAATAAAAAGTTTCAAAACTTGTCAAAATTTGGTGCGACTAAATTTTTTTCGATCAACTGTTTGTCTGTAAGTTAACAAAATTTATAAAAGTGTGGCTAGATTTATGAAAAAATAGATTAATTGCACTTAAAAACAAAATAAACATCAAAATACATAATTTTTTTTTGTAAATAAGGAGATATCTATGGGTGGGGAATTTTACGAAATTTCTGGCAAAATCGGCGAATTTCGTTGTCGAAATCGGGGAATTATCAAAAATGAGTTGGCTACACTGTATCGAATGTAGCAGCTATTTTAAATTTTCTTAAAATTTTCCAAAATTGAGTTATGGCAGCCTCGATCGTTCAAGTACCACTATGCGCGCTGTTAGAAATGGTTTTTTCTAATTTAGATGTTGCCCGGACCAGGAATCGAACTCAAGTCGTACGGAGTGGTATTACGCACCTCTAACCTATCGGCTACAGCGATCGAGAGTGTCGCCTTACACTGCTTGTTAATCAGATTCGTCTCTTGCGGCTTTTTTTTGGTCCAAAATTTTAAAAAGTCATCGATGAAAATTGCAGAAATTTGGACAAATTTATCGTTTTAAAGCCCAACTAGGGTGTTCGCATATTCGCCTTTTTTTTCCAAAAGCGGTTTTCGAGTTCTTCGAAAAATTGCAGTTAAAAAAAACGGTTTCTGATTTTGAAATTAAGAAAAAACCGAACAAACTGGTTTATTTTACATAGTTTTTTATACAGTGAAAATGCTTATTTGTTTTTTTTTCGCACGTGAGTAGGGCTCGAGTGCCACGCGGGAGGCCTATGGTTCAATTTCTGGTCCCAGCAACATCAAAAAAAAATATTTTTCAAATAGCGGTCGCCCCTCGGCAGACAATGGCAACCCTCGCGAGTGTACTTCTGCCATCAAAAAGCTTATTTCGAGGTGGATCAAAAGTTTAGATCTCTCCATTTGTGTCAGAACAACAATTTTTTCCATATAAAGTATTTTTGAAAAAAATGTTTGTATGGAAGAGACTGCGTGAAAAAAAATTGCCAAAAATCAACAATAATTCCTAACTACTTAAAAATTGTACTTTATTATAATAAAATTGATTGGGCTACAATTCTGCATACTCAAAAAATCCGATTAAAAAGTTGAAATTTTGCATGAAAATTTGCTGAGTTTTCGCGAGTTTTGCACAAAGTTAAGGAATTATATTTTTATGTTTTTTGTTGTAGAATGAACCATATTTTTATAAAAAATTGGCGAAAAAATATTAGAATAAAAATTTTTGCATATATTGTGAAAAATTTGCTGTGCCAATACTTTGTTCCGGCAGTGTATATAGATATGGAGGCACTACCTACACCATACATATGCATAAATATGTACATGCTTATTCATGTAGGTACGTATATATTTTTAGCAGTTATCATCAGCGACATCAGTTAAATCAGCGACGTTTACAAAGGACTTACAAATGTGTGCAACCAATATTGAAAAAAAAAACTTAAAAAAAAAATAACAAGGTATTCCAAACAGTGTGTCCGCCCCTGATTTACGCAACAATGTCTCCTCCTGCATCCAATTCATATTTTCGACAATGCCATACAAAGTAAATCGATTGACAGTTTATTTGCAAGCGCCAAAAACGAAAGCAACCGATGCCACACCTACAACATGTAACTGAGTAGTTGGTATTTTGGCAGGAACAAATATTTGTGTTTATCTTACAAAGCAAAAATCGTGAAAATTCGCAAACAGTTGCAGCAAAAAAAGTAACAGCAACTAGCGAAGCACCTGCGACTCGATAAAAATTGGGAGAGGTAAACGGGAAAAAAACTGAATACTATAAGGGAGCCACCGCTGATATGTGTAAGCCAACATATCACTTCTCATACTTTCCAGCTGTCACAGCGTAATCGCCGGCAGCGTCTGATGAATGTCGCTTGTCGCCCGCCTACCAACTACCACTTTTTTCTTACCAGTAAAGGCATGGGGGTAGCGGCTTTAGTACCAATCTGTGATTTTCAACTTTACACAGAAAAAGTCCTAAAAAAATAGTGCACCCAAAAAATACGAAAAAAATTGTCATAAATTCCATTCCAAATGAGTGCAGCAAAAAATTCTGCTGCTCGTAACTATAGAGGCGGAATGCCACAAAAATGCAAACGACCAACTTTGAGGCACACGGAAGCCATGTATAGTATTGTGGGAGGTATACAAATGGAAAACGGTAAACGTTTTGCGGCAGAAGCTGCGGGCATTTCCGGCCCTACTTTAGTGCGTAGTAGAGAACCATCCTGCAGCCACACAGCCAGCAGGAGCAGCATACAACCACCAACAAACAGCAGGCAGACGGCAACAGTCGCACCAAAAAACCGCCATATCAAAATCATGGAAAATAGAAGAGGAGGAGGAAGGGGAAAAAATAGCCAGCAACAGCGACAATTCGGACATTCATATCAACACATCAAGCGCCAATATCGATGACGACAGGAAATTATGCAAACTTTATGCCAAAAGCAAAACGGGGGAAAAAACAAAAAAATCTTTTACCAAAAATAAAATATAAAAAATTAACAGTAAAAACAATGGTCCACCGCACGCGTCCACTTTCTTTTTGCCACAAACAAAGCTTTTTTCCACAACTTTTCTGTTTTCTTTTTGTGCGTGCGTTTTTTTTTTTTGTTTTATCATTTCACTTGTAGTGCTGCAACTGAAGGCCCGCATGTTAAATTAACACGAACGTCACATTTCCGCTTGAACAAAAGCCACAGAAATTTTTTCTCCAAAAAATAAAAAAAAAGAATTAAAGCGACAATCGCCCGGAGGCTGTCAACGCCACTGTGAAGTGGTTCTGTCTCACACGTGAGCGCTTGTAACTCACTGAGAGGTGGGTGAACTCGGGTTTGGAGGGGTAGCAGTGTAAATTGCATGGCTCAATGATTTTTTGGCAATTGAATTAATTTTTAAAAAATTGATTAGCTG